TTCAGTCACCTGAATCTGCTTTCCCTTCTGAAAGGATAATGCTGACACACTGCCCTTTTTTTCAACTGATTTATGTTTGAATTTCTCGGCTTGGTCACCATTACTGCTATCTTTAAGGAAGGATAACTGAGATGCTTCAGATTGCAAGCCATAAGCTTTACTAATTAATTTTTCAAAAGTCCTAATAGTGAACCCTTTAAGAATGAGTGCTATAGGACCATGAATATTCCTTAGTAAAATTTCTATGGCCTGTTGTTCTTGGAGTTGTGGTTCACATTTTAGGCTAAGATTTTTCCACCTAAGAATGTAATCCACCAACCCCTCATTGGGTCTCTATTTTTCAACTACAAGGTCCCCCACTGTGATGTGATGTCGGGCTCCTGCAAATATCTTAACAAACAAAGACTCCAATTCTGCAAAGGTCTTTACTGAGCCATTTGGTAACTCAGCATACCAGTCGAAAGCTACACCGAAAAGGATGCTCACAAACTACCTGAAAAGGAAAGCATCACTACCACCCACATTACAACACCCAGCTCTGAAATGAGCTAAGTGCTGGCGTGGGTTTCCAACTCCATCAAAAAGGAAGGGTAAAAAAAACCTTTGGGGTACTGCACCAAGTCAAACTCTTCAGGATATGGTCTCCCTCTTTGAACATAATGATCCCCTTTACTATGGGCCATGGACTCCTTAATCTGCTGGCTAATGAAATCCCCCAAAATTCCTTGACGGCCGTCCTCTTTGCAAAACAGTGAAAATTTGGTTGTTTTCTGTTGTTCGTTCTCATGTGAGAATCCGTAGAGGATGCATGTTAATGCATGTAGGAGTATTGGATTTGTATCTAATGCTTCTCAAGTGTATGTTTTAGCATTAATGTTGTTTTCCAAACCTTCACCTACCAATAACCATAGGCTAGGTGATATTTTCTCATCCAAATAAAAAAAAAAATCTCCAACAGTTGGTTGGATCGCGGGTGGCTGAGCGCGGGAGCCGTGGGGCTGAGCCGGGATCTCGTGGCGGGCTATCCGCCGGACGAAATTGCCGCAGGAAAAAAACAGCCGGAATTTATTTTCCTATGCGGTTTTTACCGGCGGAATTTTAACCGCCGGAAAACCGCCGCTAAATTACAAAATCGCCGAAAAAAGCTCAATTGTTGTCGGAAACAGCCGCCAGAAATGGGTGATTTTCCTGTAGTGAGCATTAATGGGGATTTAGTTTCATGGCTTAAAGCATGCTTATTAGAAAGTTCTTTTTTTCGCTTATTAGAAATTTTTTTAAAGCTAGTGTCCTGAACTAGGGCTTAGGATTTACCTTGATAGCTAGGACTAACATTTTTAGATAATTAAGGGCTTTCTAAACTTGTAGATTATCCACAATTAAATTTCTGAAAGATATCAATGCTTGAGGAAGTCAGAATCTTTAGCTATAGACCTTAAATGAAACTTGAATGGGGTGGCCAGAATCTCACCATCGAGAAGCTTTGATCGTCAGATCCTAGCTTGAGGGATGGAAAGAAAGTCCACAGAAGCAAAATAAAAATTAAAAAATTAGCTCTCTTCAGGAGGTGGTGAGAATTGTTAGAGAATGTTAGATGAATGAATGAGGGTCACTTGACCTCTTTTTTCCAATTCAAATGACCTAAGGCTGCTTGGAGGGCTGCAACCAGTTGACGTGCCCCCTTAATGCTTGCAACCTAGCTTGGAGTTGTCAAGATGGAAGAGAATCAAATGATAAAAGGACAAGTATGTGGAAAGGTGAATTATCCTTTTGAGCACATGGGGAGGATTAAGGGTTAGTTTAGGTTTAAATATAGGGTTAAACTAGGCTTAAGAGTTATTTGGGAAGACTCTAGAATATTTTTAAGCAAGTGGAATGAATTAGGTTTTCTTTGAGAGGATGTTTGACCATTTAAAAGCTTCTTAAAGACTTTACTGATTGGGTTTACCAATCTACCAGTCAAGGTGGCATGCTCATGTGGAGATTAAATAGTCTTGAATGTTGTTAGGATGAGCTCCAAAGGGTTTAATATTAGGATGTTAGAGTTTAAGTGCATATTCATGAATAAAGGGAGATTTGACTGAGTCATAATGGGTTAACTTGGTCAAATCAACAACAACTTGACTTATGTTGAGCTTAAACACACTCAAGCCATTATATGAGATTATGTTGAAAGCTTGATAGAAGTTTAATTGGATGTATGGATTGATTTTACCAAGTCCAAAGTGTTTACTTTGTCAAACCCACATTGATGTGACTCATGCTAGGTTTGAATGAATTTAAGATATACCAATGAGTGGTCTTGAGAGTTTAAAAAGTTTGCTTGAATTAGATTTGACTGTATGTTATGAATCCTTATGTTGATTGGATTTGTCCATACATGGGTCTGGTTGATAAGGTCAACTGTTGACTGGATCAGGGTGTCCAGTCAGCCCTATATCAATAGAGGGTGTCTAAAGGAGTTTTGAAGAGGTATACATGCATTTGAATCATGATTTAGTGTAGGAAATACTAAATGATTGATTTGATAAACCTAGGTTAACTTGGTCAACCAAGTTGACCCAAAGCCAGGATTTGAGCTTAATAGATTTGAAATGATAAATGGAGGCCAATGGGTATGGTCTCCAGGATTAGAAAGGTCATTTTAGTCAAATTGACTATTTGAACCCTTAAGCGCTATTTAATCAACTAGGTTAATCCCAGGGTCTAGGTTTGGGCTCAACATCTTTGGTTTGATCAATGGAGTGTGGTGGGAGTAGTTCCATGGGTCAGAATGGTCTAAATGGTCAAAATAACCATTTAGACCCTCAAAGGGCTATTGGGTCAAAATAGGTTGACATGGTCAACCAGGCTTGACCAAGGTCTTGGTTTGGGCCCAATACATTCCTAATGGTATTTAGGATGCATCATTCCTAATGGTATTTATGATGCATTAGAGGAGAGGTTTTAGGGTTTGATTTAACTGGGAAAAGTTGAAGTTTGAAGGAAACTTCAATTTTTCCCTTAAGGCGACTGACTACACTCTTATAATTCACCCTATTAGAGGGCCACTAAAAGTAATTTATTTCAATTTCTTTATCAAGGCATAAACATCTTCAAAAGGCTTTGACATAAAATATCCTCATGCTGACGAATCAATTAGAGAACTAAGGGATCCTATAAATATATTATAGATGGTCTTTATCACTAACCAATCATGCAAAGCATTGAAAGAAGTTACTTTCGTGATGATGTCTTCCCATTTACTATCTCTCATTTCTTACAATCTTATTTTATATATCTGAACTAATGACATAGCATTAATAGTATATTATTAATTTGGATGGCCTGATTGTTTTGCTAACTCAGATGTCAATGAACTCAAAAGAAACCCTGTATAATAACTATATGACAATGAACTCAAAAGAAACCGTGTATAAACTCAAAAAATGTTTCTTACAAACATACAAACGAAATGTTGAAAGGAATTAGTTCTCAAGTTCTGTTTTTTCCTGCCATTGGCGAGGTTACTTCTTTGTTCGCACCATCTGTGTGTTAGGGTTGAAGCTAGCAGAGGAGTGGACAATCCCGCAATTTGTGCATTCATTGATTACTTGCCAAGTTTTTATCTTACTTCTATTGTGTCTGATGGTGTTTAATTAACGTCTACCTCTCATCGATTATTTTCTTGCCTAGTATCTTGTCAAAAATGTTCTCTACCTCACTTGCTAAATTCTTTCAATATGTCAACACTCCTAAACATAATACATTGCCCTCTATGCCTTTATTTTTTGACCCGAAGGAGGCATTGGACCTGATTGTTTTTGCTAACTCAGATGTCTAACGTGGCTGACGCTTGATCGTAAGTCCAAGTCATACCACTTCACTTGATAAGGCTTCCTTCTTGGTGCTGTTGTAATACTCCTTTAATTAATAAATTGTGCCGGTCTTAAAAATTTCATGAAATAACAAAACAAACTGTTTTCTTTGAAGATGAGAAAGAATTTTAAACCTATATATATTTGCCCCCCATAAAAACAGTCAGTTTATAGCAATGGCTGGTTGATTTTCATTTCTCCTTTTTAAAGGGCACTCTAAGATCTCTCTCTCTCTCTCTCTCTCTTCTGGTAAAATTGTCCTCTGCTGGATTCTCTCTCGACACTCAAACCGTGCATAGATAGATCATGCAATGCAAACATCACACGCTTTACTTTGTCAATCACATCTTCATCCTTTCTTCTCTTCAGCAAAAATCAAGTTCATCTTCGTCTCATCATAATTACCAAAACAATTACCTCTTACTTAGAGCCACACCACAGCACAACTGCCCACCCAAATAAGTTGTTTTCTTATCTAGTATCGCTCCTTTTAAGAATATCTTCGTAAAGTTCTCTTCTCACATGTTCAACAATTGCACTGTAGGGCCCTTAATAAATTTAATCTTAAGAGTTTTCGTTCATAAAGCTTACAAGAATCAGTGGAGGACTACACTCTTTCTATCCACGGAACTGTAGCTCCTCTTGTTTTTTTTCTACTGTTGTCGGAAAAGTTGAGGTCTTGTCTCCTGCAGCGGCGCAGGGAACTATTCATTCACTTATTTTTATGATCTGTCAGAATCTTGCTGAATCCATGCCAATGCTCATCCAAACCCCAGTTGTCCTTCTTAGATCTACAGTTTCTTAGAAAATGAAAAATTCTTTCCCCGCTCTGCATTATAGCAAATATGTTGGATAACTTAGGCTCAAACAAAATTGTGGCTTGTTCCGCCGAACAAAAACTTAGAGGACGGGAAGAAGTTGGGCTGAAATATATCGTATGTGCCATCATTAATCTCTCTGCATTAACGTAAGTCCTCATGAGCCAATCACCTAACTTAAAAAGAAGGCTTCTTCGCATTAAATTTAATTCAAAGGTGATGCTTTTTTGTTCATTCATTTAGAAATATCCAGCTGCCATATCAGAAAGTCTGCTAACTATTTCTCCACTCTGCATTTACCCCACATCAGCTCAGAGAGGGAGAGAGCATGGACCTCTCTGACCAGGAAGAAGAGGATGTCCAAGTTGTTTGCAGCCACAGCATGATCAACCAAACCTCTCTCAATGGAGCATCCCTCTTCTCCTTCGCCGGTAAGAAGGAGAATCATCAGCGACGTAGCCACCACAGCTGTAAGACAGTAGCGGCAGCATCTACAAAATACAGAGAATGTCTCAAGAACCACGCAGCCTCCTTCGGCGGTAATGCCACAGACGGCTGTGGAGAGTTCATGCCTGGTGGCGCAGATGGCATGCTTGAGGCTCTCAACTGCTCTGTCTGCGGCTGCCATCGAAACTTCCACCGCAAGGCGGTTGAAGGAGAACCCTTCTCCTCATCCTCAAATTCAATGGATCACTGTCTTCACTTTCACAGCTACATCATGCCAAGGCCAGTAGCTATGATGCCGCCTTTGCTTCCACCGTCAGAAATGCCCGAGGACAAGAAAAAGAGGCTGAGGACTAGATTTACGGCCGAGCAAAAGGAGAAGATGGCGAGGTTTGCGGAGAAGGTTGGGTGGAAACTGCAGAGGCATGAGGAGGATGTGGGGAACTTCTGTGAGGAGATTGGGATTAAGAGAAGGGTGCTCAAAGTGTGGATGCACAATAACAAGCACAACTTCGCTCAAAAGAACAGCACCGTTACTACCAAGTTCGACTGATTCAAGTAAGGAGAGTAGTGCTTGTTTAGTTGCTTGCATGGAATTATTATGATCGAACTGTTCCACTCTTTAGCAAGGTAGATTTTCAGGCCTTCGTCGAAGTAATCTTATCAGTGCTTCAAAGTATTTATCTATATATATTTCCCCTTATCTACTAGTTCAGGTAATGTTCATTCTTTGCATCTTAAGTGGCCTAATTATAATGAATGCTCCCTTAAAACTTAAAAACCAAGAATAAATGATTAATAACTCCTGATGGAAGACTACTCGAAATCAATTTGTAGGAAGATATTAAATGAACAAACCTGAGAAGAGCACTGCACAAAGATTCTGGAATTTTATATGACGAAGAAATCAAAGGGATCCACTTTGTTTATTTGTGTTCTTTTTCATAATTAATGTTAAAGCTCAAGGTAGGATTCCCTCTTGATTTTTTAACTGGGCTAATTTAATAGAACTCTCACATAAAAATCATAAATCCATAATAATGACCGACCGTTGATATCATATGACTACATGAAATCAATCTTGAGGAAAATATTTAAGGTATTGACCTGATACTCATAATATTAAAATATATTGTATTTATATCCTGTGGCCGAGACAGAAATTTTTTTTGGAGGTGGACGAATTGTAGATTTAAAAATATATTCAGCATTTTTCATTCGGATTTTTGAATGACATCGGTTGTTTTTAAAAATGAGAGTTGTTAACATAAAAATATAAATTACATTAAAAAAATTTAATCAAGAGCATATGGTATAATTAAATAAAAATAAATATATTTTAATAATACAATATATATATAGCAATTCTAATATGAAAATTTTAAATTATTTGAAGAAAAATATAAGTTTTATAAAAAAAAAAATTTTAAGATTAAGGAATCGGTGCCGCTGATCCCCATCTCATTGCTCTTCTCCTTCGCCTCTCTCACGTACAAATAGAGGTTTGAACGAGTCGCTAAATAACTTCTTCGCCTCCTTCGAAATCGTTCCTTTCTGTCAGACCCGAAATCCCACCTCCACTTTCTTATGTTCAATCGGAAGTAATGATGGCGACGGGAGCTTGCTCGTTTAAAAATAATCCATCTTTTCTTATGTTCGCACGCTTCCTCGGCCAAATGCCGCTCATATCCTACATAAATCCTATATCCAAACAGTCCTAAGGAAATTGTAATTTTTGGAGAATCTATTATTCTGTTTTTGAAGTTGCATATGATCAATAAAAGTCTAAAAAAATCCACACAATAATGATGCAAATTTGCTATTTCTTCATTTCTATATCCTATTTGTTATCAAGCCTTGAATGTAGAATTCATACTACGAACATCAACTCCATAAACATTGCAAAAATGTGATACTTCATCCAATAAAAAATACCAATCCATTCTCCCTCATTATCTCTAATTGCTATTTGAAGATTCACACTGATTTCATTGCATTAACGATACTTGGTCTTTTCTCTGCATGACTTATGATAATTCATTTGTAACACCCAAAATGTTAATCTTTAAATGCATTGCAATAAACAAAATAAAATTTAGGATAATGTCAAAAAATGAAAAAGAATAACACAAATATGCAAATAATAAATTAAAAAGTACAATAAAACTTTAAATAATCTTAAGAAAGAGATACATAAAAGAAATGTAATATTTAAATTAATTGATTTGTGTTTAAACATTCAAGTCTTCACCATCTCAATTTTCAATCATACTCCCTCTAAAACACATTCATTCAACACAAAAATGCATATCTTATTACATTTTATTAGCTATAATATTACCCTTAATGTTGCAATCCAAGAGCCTAATCATGTGTTTTGATGATTATAAATATTATTGGATATTTTATTTATTTATTCATGCATCATATTTTGAATATTTATTTTGTGTGATACTAATCATTTTTGTTACATTATACACTAATTAAAGTATGAAGGATCGGCTTAAGATAGTGTAGCATAGATGGGGGTTATGCGGTCATTGGTGTGTGCTAAACACAAAGTTATAGTGCAATATGAATATACTTAGATTTTCTTTAATATAGAAAAAAATAGAAGCTCACAAGATACACAAGTATATGTGTTTGTCAGGTAATAAAGTGATAGAGAAGACTGTCGATCGATTTCATGAAGAAGTGTTCTGCTTAATTATAATTGATACGGCATCACAAAATTAGCTTGATCGGGCACGAATCTCGAGGCGAAAGCTAGTTGGAAACTTCAAAAATTAATTCCGAGAGCACCCCAGCTCCGATTTCAGCAAGCTTATAGTCGAACTGAGCGTCTCGGAAATACGAACTCAACGACACCAAGATCAACCCAATCCAAGCCC